CATCATCATCATCATGACATCATCACCATCATTGATCATCATCATCAATAGCAACACTGAAAAATACATCTTTTATATAATCCACCATCATTGATCATCATCATCAATAGCAACACTGAAAAATACATCTTTTATATAATCAATGTGATATTATTAGGTATCTGGAAAAAAAAAAGTTTTTTACGTGCTCTGTTTAGTAATACAGCACACAGAAAGTGCTTATCAAAAGCATAGAAGCATAGGCGAATAGCATGAAGCATAGGCAATGCTACAGTTTCGAGTTCTCTGTTGCTCAGGGTTAGCCTCGATTTTGTGCAGAATATTCACATGCTCCAGTAAAGGAAGGTCTGTGCAATGTCAAAGTGTTTGTTTTGTTGAAGTTGTGCATCTTTTACTTTACCGTTGATATTTGTGAATATTTAGACACTGAAGWGWRGCTTACCCTGAGTAAATGAGTCTGTGATCAAGGAACACAGCGGTAATTTAGAACTCGAAACAAGTCTATTACTGTACTGGGCACTGCATTGCAGAGCTGAACCTTTCTCTGATTTTGATAAACATGGTGCATTCTGGTCTAGCATGGGTTAAAAACAACACCATATAAGGCATCGTGAATAAAAATGTTTGTACCGAAGCTAGACCGCAATGCACCGTKTTCGCTATCTTAGAAATAAAAAAATGGCGTAACGGTAGTACTCTCCCCTCCCCTCTGTGGTCTTGGGTTCGATTCCAGGACTCGGCATCAYGTGATCAGAGTCAGGATGATCACAMCCTGATTTCAGTTAGTTAGCCGTGTCGYTACTTTAATCAGCCCTTAGGTTTTATCACCAGCTGWTCTGAAATAGTGACGTAGAAATGACGTCACTGCAAAACTGAGGTGTCGTGAAGCCTGTGAAAAGTTAACGAAAAGTTGGCGAGCGTAAAACAAAAAGCTGTCCGMCATTGCAATAAAAATATATAAACTCGTTAGTTATTGTGTTAGTGTGTATCGACCTCTCATTGGCAACGTTTTTTTTTTTCTTCATATGGTGACCTGGAAATCCATAATTTCAATAGGACAAGTGACACTTCAGTTTTGCATATTTCTTGGCTCTGATTGGCTAATGATTTTCTCTCAGATCAGCTGGCAGAGATCCATAACATTTGAAGGATTTAAAGTAATTTCAAAATAATGCATACTTTGAGGGTTATAAAAAGAAAAAGGCTTTCAGAAAAAACTGTTCTATCCGCTTCAATATATAAAACACAGGAAAATATGAAAAAAGTTGCAGTTTTTGACTTGTTTTGCAAGTCGAAAGATGATGTCGGCACTGTTGATGGGAGCTGAGTCTGAACGAATCAGAGCTCGAGAAATGAGTGACGTCATTTTTAGACTGTTAACGTTGACAGTATAAACAAATTAGATTAGATAGTAGTAAACAACTTGTATGACAAGACAATATAATTAAATAAAGTGTATTACGTTAAATGATTGAGATGTTAATAAATTATCCGAGTGGGGATGGGGTGGAGACCAGTACCGGGTGTGGCAAATCAATCCAAATGTCTCCAAAACTGAACAAGTTTTACTATGGAAATCAGTAGAATGGAAAAACAGAGCAGGAAAGTGTACCACGTGATTGATTTTTCTGTACCACATGATCATTTTTGAAGGAAATGATTGGCTAGAAACGATAAAGTGGGACTTAAACTGGCTTTTTAGCACTAGAGAYTTCCATCGTGCGAATGAGATGTCTAGCACACTAAACGTTGTAAAGAAATCAGGTAAAGTGCATTCCATTTATCTGGAAAAAGTTAACAAAATTGTACAAGTTAGTGCAGAATTTTTGTTGGTCTACGTTTTACTGAACTAATTTGTACAAATTTGTGCAATTCTCTTACAAAGTATTTCACTGATATATGGTGTGCACTCTAGTATGGATGTACAACAGCAAACCTGATGATTTTCCCAGCCAAATATCGAAAATTAAGAAAACCTTTACCATTATAAGCCTTTTCCCAGTTCATGAAAGTATCCCTCGATAACAAACTCGCCTCTTCAGTGTCAAAATATTCACAAATACCAACGGTAAAGTAAAGAATGCATAACTTCAACAATACAAACACTGAAATTGCACGAAGCATTACTTGAATGCAAGCATAATCTGCACAAAAACGAGACCTACTGATGGGTTGCAAGCATTCTGAAGAGAGTTAAAAGACAATTGACATGCCGGCCATTCTGGTGCCGTTAACAAGGGATGCTAATGAGAAATATATCTTTTTTTAAATGGCACCAAGGCTCCCCCAAGTGGACGCGACGTAACGTGCAATCGAAATATTCTGGTTCCCCAATTGTGAAGTGACTGCATATCTCTGACACAGTGCACCAAACCCGTTTTTTCAGCGAATTCCTCGTTTCTATCAGGAACCATCACTTTCAATCAAGAGAAAAAATTGTGAACACCAAATTTCGATTTTCGTTCACAGCCGGCCAAAACGCACGAAAATTAACAGTAGACCGTAAAAACGCCAAAATTCTAGCGGGACCCATTACCGTAGGTAAAAGGCTCTTGCCGTTAGCCGTAGACAGGAACTTCACATTGAGGCCCTCTGTATTCCTATAAGTAATTTCTTGGAACTTCCTACTCTACTTCACTTCGATTTTTGTTCATATCGAGAAAGTCCCAATTCCGTATTTCTCTCGATAGTTCTCTGTGCTTGTCAATAAAGGTCAGCTTTTTGGACCAGAAATCCATGGAGAACATATCTTCCTCGGGATGCTTTTCGAAGTCGTTCACAAAATGATTGAGTGAACAATTCGGGATGCTACATCGATAATGYGAATGCAAGCGGCTCTCCTTCGGCTGCCAATACTCCCACAAAAGATTCTCATCGCGATTATGAACCACTGATATTCGAATTTCCATCGACGGTCGAACTATTCTGATGGCAGGGATACGAAATTTCGCGAGGTAGTTTCCTTCGTCTTGTGGATTTTCTTTCACTGATATGAAAATGTTTTTGTTTTGAGACGTTATACGAACACACGATGAAGAACACCCCATTTGGAACTAAAACCAACCACTATATGCAGACAGACGCTTTTAAAACAGGTTTTTCTTCGGTTTTGACTACATTTTCAAGTGACACTTCGCTGTTCGATGAATGCTACATAATATGCAAAACATGATGCGTCGACAAGACGTTTAGAAATTTGAAGAGAAATCCATTTCTTGTTTGCCCTGTCCTTCGAGATCTTACTATATACAGTATCTAACAACCTGGTAGTTCGACGTATTCCTCCTCCAGTTTTGTTGTCATGAGAAATTTTAAAAAATCAACTCTCTGGAAAAACTCTCCAAAATGGCCGAAAAACTTGGTAGCACTTTAGTATGACGTTGCTATGGTAATCAGGGTTTTGGTAATAAGCTGTGAGCTCGTTACGAACACCGGCTGGGTGTGGCCGACAGCGAGAAAAATCTTAACTTTTAGCCGACCAAAAAAATCCAAATGTCTTCGGCCCAGACTGATAATTTTATCGAAATATYAGTACTTACGGGATCTTCGTTGGCTATTATATACCGATAGAGTACAAAATTTCAAAATCCTGTTGATGACCTTCAACAGATCTTTTCGGCTTGAGCTTAAAGYGTAAATCAAGGGAATTTTTTTTTYTCGAAATCACTTATATGTGAATAGTGTAGTCAGAGTATGGTTACAGTATTTTTGTATGTCAAATTTTCTTTTCGGAGATATAAACATTTGAAATATCAATATGCAAATGAGATGACGTTAATTCAAGACTGATTTATCACACAAAAATGCTGTTGTGGAAATTACTGCGAGTTATTTTTTCATTTGTAAATCATCCTTATAACTGAAATGCATGGCTTTGTACACTTTTGGGTTATTTCACTTCAGAACACTTGTCGTATGATCACATTGCAAAATGAACACATTCTTGAATTTACGTCATCTCATTTGCATATTGATATTTCAAATGTATATATTTCTGAAAAGAGAAGACCACATACAAAAATACCTCAACCATATTACTACGCTGTTCACAGATAAGTGATTTTGAAAATATTTTTTTCCCTTGATATACACTTTAATGTCATTCCCTTGAGTACCATTACTTTGTTTAAAGGTTGCGCATGAGAAGATACGCGAATGTGGATAGAACTCAAACAAAGAAATTTAATTATTCTCAAGAGACCATGGTCTGAAATGAGAAAACATTACCCCAAAGCTTAAGAGGTCTATTTGCCTTAATGATTTTAGATTCTAACATGTTATATACACCTGATTGTAGAGTGAAGGCATTAAACCCGTGAAATAAAAATTACTAGTCAACATGTAATAATCAAATAGACACAAAAGAAAACAATGGAATTAGGGTCCACTAAAGTGTATTAGTCTAATACCTGTTTCGCGGGTTTAACGACTTCACTCTAAGAACGTCATTCAAAAATAACAAATATAAAGAATTCAATTAGAATTTTGTTTTTATTTGGATGGATTCTAAAGCCCCTTACATTGATGAAAATATCTGTTTTAGTATATACCAATAAGGTTATGTCAAAAATGTCAGTCTATACCCTCTAATTAATTTTTGTAACTATTGTAAATATTCTATTGTAATATTTTGTGAATTTTGGATTTTGTGAATTTTGGACAATTTTGGAGATGAGCGCTATATAAATAAATTATATATATATATATATATATTATTYTAATCAGTGACGAAATTTTTACAACTCTTTTGATTCATATAATCATTAATACCTATTTGTACTTAATTCGGTCACCAACATACCAGATGTTCCCTTTATTGACAAAGTTAAGGTGCACTTATGTCTGRCTTCGTTTGAACTGAGCTACACCATATGAACTCAGTGGCTCCTTAATTACTAGGTGCGTTCTATATTATTGCATAATCATTAAGCAGCACTTTGCCAAAACATCAATGTAATCTGTTGCCGACACCCACTCCCAAATCAACATTCCGATTCGCGCTTCCACAGGAAGCCCAATAGTCAAGATCATAATTCCAAGCCAAGTGCAAGACCTGGTTTGCTCACGAATTAATTTTAAATCATCGCTAGAATAATTTTCGTGATATTGAAAAATTCTTGTGCTATTTCTGACGAAGTCCATTTTCTGTACAGGAGAGAAATCAAAGTTCCTCTCTTGAAACTATAAAATCAACTAAAAACTCTGTTATATTATTTTTACTAAATAAAAAGAAGTAGTATTTCCAGTTCTCAAGAAAAAAACAAGTAGTATGTACTGAGTTCTCAAGCGTCGTCCAAGGAAGGAAATCAAAGGTCCTCTCTAGTAACTCAACTATAAAAATCTGTTACGTTATTATTTTTAAATCATAAAAAAGTAGTATTTCTAGTTCTCAAACAAAAAAAGAAAAGAAAAGAAAAAAAAAAACTAGTAGTATTCCTAGTCTCAAGCGTTGTCCAAGGAGGGAAATCAAAGGTCCTCTCTCGAAACTATAAACTCAAATAAAAACTCCGTTATTATTTCAAGTAATATTTCTTGTTCTCAATCGCCGTCCAATTTTTCTTGTAATGTGATTTGACTTTGACTTGTGCTCTTTTGCTCAGAGATCCCCAGAAGACATCCCCCTTTTTGGCTGACATCTGTAGCACTTCCTCTCTCGCTACAAATCCCCAGTTTTTTCCTTAAAGACAAAAACTTCCACTTTCTACAGAGACAAAAACACAGATTCACTGCATCTTTTCGGAACTCCTCACTGTAAAAACAGTAGATAACAGGATTGATGAGCGAGCTACAATGCTGGAGTAGATTAGCGCCTGACGTTGCTAGAACATGCTTCTTCGGATCGTTCAAGGTCTCGGAACTGAAGAAATAAAACAGCATGTCAACGATAATTACGGGGCCAGAAGTGAGAGCAAACCCGAAGACTACTATTGCCATCATTCGAATTGACTTAGACTTGGCAAACGCGACCTGTCCAGATATCATACCTTTCTTGCTCCTTCTCCAAAGGTAGATKATTATTCTTGTATACAAAACAGTGATCAAAACAAGCGGGATTGCAAACGCTGTAGTGAAATATAACGTTAAAGCCACTTGTGTTTTCAAGCCTTTTCGTAGCAGGCACATATTCTTGGATTCGTACTCAGCTCCAGTCGTGTTTTCAAAATCTTGGTATTTCTCGAAACGAGCAATTATGACGTCTGTGGAAGGAATGAACCAGACAGACGCAGCACCAGCACAWAGCCAAACCAAACCAACAGCCAAGGCACGGCGTTGTTTCTGGATTCTAGCTTTCAAAGGACTTAAAATATTTCTATATCTGTCAATAGAAATCGCCAGCAAGGTAAGGAAAATAGCTGCAGAGCAAGTGCGAGACATGAAGTTCAAAGTCCTACATTGTATTTGTCCGTCACTGCTTGAATTAACGTCTGGTGTGACTAAATTCATCTCCAGTGGCGAAATCACAGCACGAAAGACAATGTCGGTGAAAGAYAGATGAAATATCAAGAAGTTTGACATGTTTTTCCAAATGCGTTTGCTTCGTATCATTACGTAACAAACGATGAGATTCTCCAGAACTCCGAACCAAGTAAAAAWAAATTTCAAGACGAATACAAATACAACAGTACTTGTCGGCATTTCCATGTCCACGCTCGTGTGTTCTAGTTGTGGCTTTACGATGGACTGCGACATTGTTAGTTTAGTTTAGAACCAAGAGTCCACGGAAAAATTATTGTTATTAGAAGATTACTTCACTCTTTGTCTCTAGCCAGCCTGTTGAACACTCCTGTGTAGATCATTTTAAAATAATTTCCATTAATATCAAATATGAAATTGAAATAAATATTTTAAAATATTTTAAATCAAGCATRTCTGTTACAAACACAAACTAACTTCCAATGTACTCTTTGCATGGTATACCGTCAGAACGACTTCACTTACATTTCACCATTTTACAATTTTTCCGTGCCGTTAAATCAGTTTCAAGAGTGTTGTAGAATATAAAGATTTAGATTTTTAGATTTTGCATTGACTCCGACGAAGGACTAATGTCCGAAACGTCAGTCTACTATCTTTCGTACCTACGGTGATAAAATTATCTACTACGAAACTTATCTACTAAAATTATCTACTAAAACACCGACGCAGTCCAAACTAGTTCCAAAAACTAATCATTATCTATATAAAGATTTAGCTTTCTTTTAGATAAAAACTTGTATTTCTACTGTGTAARATCCATCCATAAAGACTATGAAGATTTCACTTACCCGCGGCAGATAGATTCAATACGTCGTGCCTGCAGCTAGCTTACCGGTTTTCTGTCAGGTGCTATAAATGTCGAAATATTTAACTAATAACCTTCAATTACTGCTATCTGATCTGTTAGGGATTGACATGAGTGATCATTCTGGTTCCCAGACCCTACTCATACAAATGGGGAAAAAACATCTGTTTGTCTTCGATTAATCAAACGGATTATCCAAAAAGGAGATCTATTGTTCTTCTCAAAAGCCAATCAAATTGCGAAAATAGACCTCCTCGGCTCGTGTGTACTGTTTTTCAATAATTCTTTATTGACKGTTATTCATGAAACAGTGGAACTGAACATTCTTGCCGCTTGATCACGTCAAAAATAGCATTTAACCGAAAGAAAACGGCATTTAACTAGAAGGGCGTGTCCTCCCGTGACGTTTTGCGAGTGAATAAACATACCACTGAACAAATACTGAAATTTACGCATATTTATAGTAAAAGTAATTTTGGCTTGCWTTGACCGTGGTAACTGAATATATATATATATTCCCTTATTTATCGAATAAATTAACAACGGCTACTGAAAATGTTATAGCTAAAGGTAAATCTCTTCCGTTTGTTTGTGTCTGCTTTTTCCCAGTCCACCGTCAACTTGAGCTTTGGGATCTTATTCCTCTCTTAGATTGGCAACATTGAATCACCGCTTTGAGATAAGACTTATTGGATCAAAACTAAGGACACGTCTTTTCAAACTAATGTCATATCTTACGGTAACCTGGAGTTGTGCCTTCTTTTCAGCATTGTTATCACGGTCATATCGAGAAATTTCCCTGTCCCGTGGGAAAATTCCCACTTTGGGGACATTTCCCGGGGAAAAATCCCGGTTTCACGGGAAAATTCCCGGTGGGGGGAAAATTCCCACTTGGATGGACTCCCCTCCGGCGGGACATTTCCCGTAGACATACAATACAATAGTACAATACAATACAATATGCAATACAATAATACAATATACAATACAATAGTTTATTGCAATAACAATTCGAAAAAAGACAAGCATGGGGCCTAAAATAGCTGTTAAGTTTTCTAGTTAGCCCTCAACCTCAGAACTGTTCATAAAATTAGATTCCTTCTTCCATTCCATTCTTTTAGTTTTGAAAGGAACATTGAAATGTATAAAATAAATAAATAAATAAAACAAAATAAAGAGTGAAAAATCAAAGCCTGCTTATTACAATCATCACGAGAGATTATCTAAGTGGCCAAATTCCTATTTGTAATTTTTAAAGCATTTTTCTAGAATTCGCTTGAGTTAACAAACAATGGCACCAGATCGAGGTTGGTACTCATGTTTTCGTATATTTGTTACATTTGTAACATTATTTTATTAATTTATTATAATAATATTAATTTATAATAATAATAATATTAATTTTATAATAATAATATTATTATTATTCATTATAATGATATTAATTTATTATAATAATATTATTTTATTATTATAATAATTCTAACTACATTCGGTTAATTTATTGTAATAATTCTAACTATATTTTTAAATAACCCGCTCAACTAACCCTCTAACATCCTTTTACAATACTTACTTACTTAAACAACCCTCGCCCTAGCGTTTTAGCATTTATAGTTTTTTAAAAAAGCATTTTTTTTTCCAAAAATTCGTGTTCCAAAAATCTTGTATCCGTCATCTTATGACTGAAACACTATTATTAATTAAGATAATTTTACTTGGCCCGTGAAAAAAAAATTTATATCTAATATATAGAGATTAGCAACACTCGACGTAAAAGTCTAATTAACATATTAGACTTCGAGGTCGAGTTTTCTATGAGTCAATAGATAGTCGATGAGGCGCGAAAAAAAAATTAAAATTAAAATTGCTAAATATTCCTCAGTTTTTATTTTGTAGTCTCTACCGTCCAAAACTTCAATTCCTTTCCTAGTCTTTTCTACAACAGATTTTTATATACAGTGACTAAATGTTTAGAAACAAGCAGAGATTTCAACAAAACTTGACCATGCACTTGTTTGTTTTT